ATCGATAAAACCTCGCCTGCAAGATCGGCTTTTAACAGGAGGGTATGATCTTAATATTAATAAATGTCCAAAGCGCATATGTTGTACCCACCGATGATTAAACTGAAACTTCCATGGCCTGCGTAGCTTCCCAAGCACGCGAGAGGTGAGCGAAATCTTGGGATGTACACAATGGCTTAGACTTGGCACAAGCATATTTGTTGCAAGTGAAGAAAAATGACAGAAGAAATTTCAAGTTCAGAGAAAAGTGAGGGAATTTCGTTTTAAGGTTGCTGTGGGTTCTGTCTTGTTTTGTTCCTAAGACTTTGCGTGCATTCGAAGGTTTTCGTTCATCTCTTGAGTGCTTGGGAAGGAAACGGCTAAAACTTCCGTTATTGAAAGGATCCTTAGCGGACAACAAAATATCTAATCATATCAGTAACACTATTGCATAACCCCTCATAAACAACTGTTCAAGAGTTTTGAATTTCCCTACTCGCTTTTTCACTTCGTAAATTGAAACTGCTTTTTCGGTTATTTACTTAATTAATTTTGCGAGTATTCGCAAGTCAGTCTCCCGGTAGTTCTTTTCGTGATTTTTTAGAACGATAGAAGCCCGCAACAAATAGGATCTCCCCAAATCCTTCAAAAATATCCCGAATATATAACATGTCTGCACGCTACGAGGGTCATAGAAAGTGCCTTGAGAAATGCGAAACGGCAGACGATGCCGTAGAGATAAATCGCATTGCAAGCTATGAAGGTCGTTGAAGGTCGCGAGCAATTCAAGTACAGGCAGGCAAGTAAACGCAAAATGTGTGGATGAGATATTTGCCCACTTTTTCGATGCGGAAATTTGCAATCTGATGAGAATTCGACTTGCCTTAAAGTTTGCCTTCAACCGTTTGCGAACTTGTTCTAACATTATCCTATTCTTATTGCTAAAACAGCAAAACGTATTGCAATAGCCTGTCCATTTGGACAGAATCCTTGTATTTTTCAAACCAGACGTAGATAGATAGATAGCGTCAATAATTGTTTACCATTCGTTCTCCCTAATCAAGTTGCACACAAGTCCGTCTGAATCAGCTGCCATCGCTCCAAAACAAAGTCGAAGCTATTACGTTTGAACTAGGGCTAAGAACAATTTGATTACGCCAGTGAGGAAGTTGCGTTACGAAAGCCGAGTTCCTTCTTGAAATAGCTAGAAAATCGGTCGAAAGTTAAGTGGACCTTACTGGTAAGAAGCAAATTTCCGGAAAGCATGGAGCACCCTGCCACAGGGGACAAAGGAAAATTCTCTGTTCTTGTTTGGAACGGAACCGGCGTAAGATCTGATATGTACCGTTTCTCCACTGCGGAAAAATGGAGGAATTGATCTGAACAGGAAGACTTCCGGAACTTCAGGTAAATGTATAAAAAAAGCATCCATCGAGTACACCGGCATAGAGTTATGCCGCCATTACGTAAGTTATTGATTTCTCTCATGGAAGACCTCTGTCGTGAACTGCGCCTTGTAGAAATTACGCCAAAATAAAAGCAAACATGCGAAAGCGCCATTCTTCTATAATTCTATGCTACGACGATACTTACTGAATTTCAAGCAAACTGGGGTGCTTGAGCCGAGCGAGGATTGAATGCTTTCCCAGCTTCCAACAGACCTATCTGAACTCCAAGGTAAACTTATGACGAACTCGAGTTTAATTAGTTTTATTTTGAACCGGAGCTTGAAATACTATCCTTGGCTTTTAGCGAGGTCAACGAGTTGC